GTGACTGTCACAACATAACAGACAACTCAGTAACAGGCCACATCCACGACCACTCATCAGATTAAACCTGGAACCATCACTTTCTTACGACGAGTACGACAACATTAAGGTACTCAGTTTGGGATTCAACCATTCATTAATATTCAACATCAGTAAACTCAAAACATAAAAACACGATTATCAATCAATATCATCTATTTTCTTCTTTGAACGAAATCATTGCTAATTGTTTAAAGCATTTATGAATCTGAAAACAGGTACATGTAGTGGCTGTCGGTCATCGTATTTAGTTGAAGGATTTTTGTGGAGGTTGTTTTAATTTGTAGATTGTATAATACAGAATGTGAAGAACAAATGATGGAAATTCGTAAATGAAGTATTTCATGTATGGTTCTCATACTTTACGGAGACATTCTGTAATTTTGTGTTAAATGCGTTGATTTTCTCTACCTGTGTGTTCGTTCACCACGGTAACATCGAAACTCAGAGGGAACCAGATGGCTGTTTTGTCCTAGTATGACGGTCCCCAGAAGTATGCATCCATAACCACTACAGGATTTAGAGCTAGGATCTCCGGGTTTCCTGGAGAACGTTTAACTACTGTAACCATTGGTTTGGCATCCAATAGTAAAATCTCTACTTCAGTCAATTTGAGATAGGGGGTAACGATCAACCAGTGTCATCGGTGACAAATGCTTCACTTCCGACTAGTAAAAAATCTAAAGATTGTAGAAACACACTGATGAGAAGCTCCGTGTAAGGACAAAACAGTCGTTCAATGCTCCGTGGTTTTCAATAGAACACCAACTGAGTTAATCTATAACAAGTAGACCCACAAATCACCATTTTCATTTAAAGAACGTGAATTTTTAATTGTTTCACATACAGTTGATTACCTATGTATGTTTGCAGATTAATCACCGACCCTTATATCCATCTCTCAACAAATAAGAACAGTCAAAAAAATGTAATTCAAAATTTAACTTGTATTTTATTTGAGTGCCAGAGAGACATGAGAAATAAATAATCTGACAACCTGATTAGTATACTCAATCATCAAATAAGGTAATATGGATCAGAAACAGAGAAATATATATAACTAAACTTTCATATTGATTATCAACTAAAACTTACCCATAGAAAATTGTGTACAACGTCCAAAAATTGCATAGAACAATGGACTTAAAAAGCCAATATACAATCCATAAACAGGTGGTAAACCAGCGAGTAATGAATATGCCATACCTGAAATTTTAAAAAGAACACAATATTCCACTATCCTGCCCCTCTCCTACATCATGTTTATTACTAGAAAGCATGGAATAAATACTAGTAGAAAAAATATACTTTCCAATATATTTAGCATGTTGCTAGCGTTGAAATTTATCAACTTGGTGTATCCGCACCTCAATATTGATGTTCACACAGACTTCGAGTCAGTAAATTTTACTTTAAACTAACACGTTATTCATTGTTCATTTGAATTCCTGAATACTAAAAACAGGAAATTACAAGTCTTTATACATATTTTTGCCTGTAACATAAAAGGGGTACAAATGGGTCATTGATTTTTCTTGATAACATGTTCGTTTCTTTATTCAGATCTTTACTAAATCATATTGATACATGTTTAAATCAACTTCCAAACAAGATCTACGCAACTGGTGAAAACTTAACAAAATAAATCAAATTCACGTTGATCCGCTCAAATAGTTGTTCTTACTCTTTTCATATCGGCAAAATATTAGTTACTTAGTCTGAATTTTAGAACCATCAGCAGTGCACACCGACAACCTTACATACATATATTGATCTTATTTCAGGTATCATAGAAAACTAAGGAGCATCAGATAGTCGTTTCATCTTAATATCAAGTTCACAGTAGTGCGCACCTGTGATCTCTCCGGAGATCGAACCCATGAGTGTTCCTTCACTACAAATATATCACACTGGACCATCATACCCAACTACGATTGTTAGTTGATATGTACATTTCATCATACATGTACAGAAAGAGGACTATTTTGTAGCAGTAAGTAATCACCTTGAAGAACACTCATAAATGATTCATACAGAGAATTAGAGTATCTGGCTACATATCAGTGAGATGAATCGGATGATTGATATGAATAGCTCTTTTAAATTGTTATTCAACACTCCCCATGTAAAATGTATATAAATAAATTTGTTGTATTCTTAATATTGTATAACAATAAATAAGAATTGTTAATAGCTCAGATTTAACTGTAATTGTACTACAGTCTTCATTCTATCGATTTTCATGATTATTTGGATTGTCAGTCTGATTAATTCGTTTGACCTTATTTTTTATATATTCGTGATTTTTTAATTAGATATTACGAAGACAGGTTATTAGTTTATGAATTAGACTGTACAGAATTTATTGTATACTAATAATACTGATTTGTTGTCATGAGAATCATACAATGAATCACTTAGAAACTGTTAACTTCAGTCTAACATGATTAGATTAAAAACTCTTGGCTAAATTATTACTAGTAATCAACAAGTTTTGAGAAATAAAAGTGTCCGCAATTCAAAATTATTTCATACTACGTTGAAACACTTTTAAAAACGTTCACTATTTCTGAGAATGATATGAATGAGAATAAACTAGCAGTAAACACCTTTTTTTCTTCCGATTAAAACAAAACCACCGTATTATTTTTTACCATAGATAAATACGCTATGTCGTTGATTAGATTCGAACTCTATACTGTTGTACAGACGACAAATGATTTCTATTAAACCAATTTGCTACGTGAACTCGGAACAAATACAAAACCTACGTTTTCGCACATAATTGAGGGTACTTTGTTTCTGTATCTTACAACGGTGAGTTATCAACCTCACACATTAAAGTATGGTTATAAATTATCTTATATCATACTTTTATAACCTAAATTATTAATTTATCCCTACACTGAGTGCATATTTTAATGGCTGCCGTCTACGCGATTTCGGAGCATTCATCTATAAACTATGGGAACGAGATTCGCACCACTGCTAGGAATGGCTCAATAACGACACTCAACGACTCTAAGACATAAGTATCAAGATAAGAGCTTAGAAATCTGTATTTCTGGGTTTATAAAGAGCTACAATCAGCAGATATTTTGTTTATCATACAACAAACTCTAAAGTACAGAAGCCTTTACCACTAATGTGCACAAATTCTAAATATATGTAATATGTAACATTAGAACCTGAGTCAGTCTCTCCTATCATTAGAAAATAATTACACCGTTTATACTACAATACGCCAGCATTATTCAAATAAAACTTATTGTAATAAATGAAATCTGAAGTACAATGGGAACAATTCGCTCTGACCAACCATTCACGTCAGACATAAAATATTCATAGTTTTTAGATATAAATTACTAACAGAATAAGGAAAGATTACTTTCATCTTTTTATGGTTCAAAACTATCTACAGACAAAAGCAGAGTCCATTAACATCTAATATATTAAAAGTGAATCCATAGAACTGTTTAGGAATTCTTTTGAAATTTACTAGATTCCCAGTTTACAAAAGAAGCATACTATGACTGCGAAAGATACAGCACAACTTATTTTGGTTAAATACCAACAATAATAGCTGACTCATTAAAGCTATTAATAATAACAAATGATTCCGATGTAACACACTGCATACATCATATGGCTTATCTTAACGAAAAGCATAGAATGAAGTACGAATGAATTGTATTGTAATATCATTTCTCTCCTGTAACCAACCTTTTATCAAAAATAGATCAGATATAAGGTTATGCGTGTTCTAATAAAACGATTATTTACGCTTTCAATACTTGACCCGTGATTTGGAAGTTCCTTGGAAAATATGTGAATTCAGAATTAGTAAGTTTTAAGTCACCTAACTGACTAACAATGAGAAAATTTTGATGTGTTGCAATTTGGTTCATCTTTAAGTGTCACCCTTAATTTTTATTTCAGAAGAAATAATAGCTCGTTCATCCAACAGCGATCATCAATAATTTGGATTTATGATTTTCAGTAGTTTCATCGGGTATTTGGCCAAAATATCCGTAACCATTTCACTGTTGTGATACAGAATTTGAAAGTTTTTGTTCTGTCCTTAAAAAGCGTTTGACATGTAAACTAAACAGATGATTAAAAATGAAATGACGTAGTAACTCCAAATTTCGAGATTACAGTTAAATATAACGAGTAAGATCTTTGAAGCTGAATGAACTGAAGGAAATATGACTAAGTCTCTTATTTACGTTTATATCATATATAAATAAAAGATTATACTTGCCTTGTGGGATATTCATAACGCCTATTGTCAAACCACCGGAGATATCTTTCAAAAAATCTGACCGCCAATTATAATGTAGCAAAATATCAATACATGGAAATATAGACTTGATAAAGTATATCGAATATGATTTCCATTGCTGTTTACTACAATATGATAATGATTTTAGACAACAATGACTTTTCTTAATGCTTGAGTTAGTATGTTTAGACATTAGTGAATCCCAATCTGCAATCGGTCGACTGAATGTGATACGTCCTAAGTGAACATTTGTCACAAATTTGTTTTCATGCATAGTTCCATTTAAATTTAGTGATTTACAATGAGTCTCATCATTATTAACTGCGACATAGCTTGACATTGCACAGAAATGAATTAAGTCACGTTATATCAATTACTTTTATTATTACTATTACCTCTAGTTTATATATAATCTATTAAAATGACTGATGGACGGATAAAACCTTATAGGTGATTTGTAGCTCATCAATAATCCAATCACAACTACTACTTAGTGTACACACATAAACATACGTAAACGGACATAATTCCATAACTTAGTGCAAATGTGAAACGAATACGAACCTGTGGAAATTCTAAATTCATATAGTAACTAGTAATATGCGTATGCAATGTGCGTATGATATTCAACAAGATAGACGAAAACACAAAAACCGAAGCACAAAAGTAAAAAATAACAAATTAAGCAAAAATAGATTTTGGAAAAACAAAAAAAATGATACACAGGTAAAATTTAGAACTTTTTTTTACCAAAAAGTGGAGTCAATTTACATGGGTAAAGAATGAAGACAAATTTCACTGTTTTCGTATTTTCGTGAAATCATCATCATCAACATCCTACATATATTCACAAAAACTAAATTCAAATATTTCCATGTGTGTTCATATTAAGATTTATATCAATGCAGAAATATTCAAACCACTGAATTCGCTGAACTAATACAACAAGGGGACGGTGCAGTGAAAACAGTGACTATAACAAATATATCAATCGGTCTTTGTCTTAGAGGAATTGTGGAATATTTAGAAGTAGAAAATGTTTATAGCTACAATTTTAAAGCATCTGAAAGAAGGGAGCGAACATCTCGTTCACTAATCCGATTCGATGATATAGGATTCACAATTGATAAACTGAGATCCGAGGCAGCTGAGTTCCAATTACCAAGGACTTTGAAAACATTTTCATTTTCTGTCATACCATCTAGACTGGAACACGGCAAAATATTAGTTGACTTTGACCTTCTACTCCGGGAACTAACACGAGTAGTGTCTTCAGATTCCTCGGTCTGTTCTGTGTTGTGTTCAGACACACAACCTGTTACATTCTGTTCCATTTGTAATTTCTCAGATGCAATGCGCAGCATACCCTCTTCTAAAGTACCTTCAGAGATTAGTCGTATGACGTGAACAGGACTAGAAAATTAAAACATAATAGTTTATTAGTACATAGTTTTAAGAGACTTTTAGATACGTCAAACCACAAAAAAATAAAAAGCAGACATTTAAGTAACATGGTATGATATCATTCAATCATTCAACGAAAGGTTAAACTAGTTATTTAAAAAGGCATATAACATAATCATTACCCATCACTTATAATTTCTAATACAATAGTGAAATTTAAGGCAATCTAAACACATTAGCCAACATGAACTAACGTTCATACTCCGTATTGAGAAACATATACAATTTTTTTACATTCAATTGAGATCAGTATACCTAATAATCACAATGTTATGATTAAGTCTTGGGTATTTTTACTGAATCCAATTGACCAAATAGGCTAAGGTGAATATTTCAAAAGGTGATATCATTTGTTTGGCATTTTTGATTTTATTTTGGTAACGGCAACCGGTCTTAACTCCGCCTGTAGCTCTTCTAGAGTTACTGACGGTCCCAAGCCCGGGTGAAGGAGGAGGGTTTGGCATGGGGTTAGCGTCCCCATCCCGTAGAAAACTAACTCGCTAAAAAAACGCTTACCAAAAAAAATAATTCAAACCATTTTAACTCTGTCCTGGGAGTTAGAAGGTCTTCATTTAGAAGAATTATGACGCTTCATGCTGAAAGCCGAGTTCCTTCGGAAGTCACGAGGCCGATGCCCCTTCTAACAACCAGAGCAAAAACTTTTGGAGTTACATGGAACATTCGAACAATGTGGGAGACCGGGAAGACCAGTCAAATAGCAACGGAAATGAGGAGATACAATTTGGTAGTACTGGGAATCAGCGAAACCCACTGGACCCAAGCTGGACAGAAAAGGCTAGCTACGGGAGAGACGCTGCTATACTCCGGTCACGAAGAGGACAATGCTCCACACACTCAGGGAGTCGCTCTTATGCTGTCCAAAGTAGCACAAAATGCACTTGTAGGATGTGAATCTCACGGATCCAGAATAATCAAAGCATCGTTCAAAACATAGGAGGGGATCACAATGAATATTATCCAATGTAATGCACCCACCAATGATACCAACGACGACATTAAACATCAATTCTACGAGCGGCTGCAGTCAGTCATTGAGAAATGCCCAAGAAAGAACCTCACCATTCTAATGGGAGATCTAAATGCCAAAGTCGGAATATACAACACCGGATATGAAGATATTATGGGACGACATGGACTGGAAGTGAGAAACGAAAAAGGAGAAAGATTCGCAAATCTATGTGCATTCAACAAATTGGTCATAGGGGGCACAATATTTCCACACAAGCGTATACACAAGGCTACATGGATCTCATCGGACCACACTACAGAGAACCAAATAGATCATATTTGCATCAACAAAAAATTCCGAAGGACAATGGAAGATGTGAGAACCAGGAGAGGTGCTGACGTAGCTTCAGATCACCACCTAGTTGTGGCCAATTTAAAACTGAAGCTAAAATAGAACTGGTCAAGCGGACAAACAGCACTACAAAGGTTCAATACAGCCTTCCTTCGAGATACTGACAAACTCAATGAATTCAAGATAGCTCTCAACAACAGGTTCCAAGCCTTACAAGATCTACTGAAGGAAGAATAAACTACTATGGAGGACAACTGGAAAGGCATCAAAGAAGCATTAACTTCAACGTGTCAAGAGGTTCTGGGTCTAAAGAAATACCATCATAAGGAATGGATCTCTACAGAAACACTGGACATGATCAAAGAAAGGAAGAACAAGAAGGCAGCAATAAACAACAGCCGAACACGAGCAGAGAAAGTCCAAGCACAAGCTGAATACATAGAAGCAAACAAGCAAGTGAAGAAAAGCATTAGAGCTGACAAGAAGAAATACCTGGAAGAACTAGCAACGACGGCGGAAAAAGCTGCTAGAGAAGGAAATATGAAACAGCTTTACGATACAACGAAGAAACTAGCAGGGAAATACAGTAAATCAGAGAGACCGGTCAAAGACAAAGAAGGCAAGCCAATCACTGAAATTCAACAACAGTGGAACAGATGAGTAGAATACTACGAGGGACTCCTGAACAGGCCGGCTCCAATGAATCCACCGGACATCGTAGCACCACACAGATTTTCCTATAGATGTCCATCCACCAACGAAGGAAGAAATCAGAGTGGCCATCAGACAAATCAAGAACGGGAAAGCAGCGGGTCCGGACAACATACCAGCTGAAGCACTGAAGTCAGACATCGAAGTAACTACAAGCATGCTTCACCTATTCAAAAAGACTTGAGAGGAGGAACAAGTGCCGATGGACTGAAAAGAAGGACAACTCATCAAGATTCCAAAGAAAGGAGATCTGAGCAAATGTGAAATTTACAGAGAAATTACACTACTGTCAATACTAGGGAAAGTATTCAACAGAGTGTTGCTGAACCGGATGAAAGACGCAGTAGACGCCAAACTTCGAGATCAACAAGCTGGATTCCGTAAGGATCGATCGTGCACAGACCGAATTGCGACACTACGGATCACCGTCGAACAATCAGTTGAGTGGAACTCAACACTATACATCAACTTCATTGATTATGAAAAGGCAGTTGACAGTGTGGATAGGAGGACGTTATGGAAACTTCTTCGACACTATGGAGTTCCTGAGAAGATTGTCAATATTATCCGGAACTCATTCGACGGACTACAATGCAAAGTCGTGCATGGAGGACAGCTGACAGATGCATTCCAAGTAAGGACCCGAGTAAGACAAGGCTGTTTACTCTCTCCCTTCCTTTTTCTCCTGGTGGTCGACTGGATTATGAGGACCTCGACATCTGAAGGAAAACACGGAATACAATAGACAGCTCAAAATCAGTTAGACGACTTGGACTTCGCAGATGACCTAGCCTTCCTATCGCATACACACGAACAGATGCAGATGAAGACAGCCAGTGTAGCAGCAGTCTCTGCATCAGTAGGCCTCAGCATACACAAAGGGAAAACCAAGGTCCTCAAATTCAAAACGCAGAACAGCAATCCAATCACTTTTGATGGCGAAATTCTGGAAGATGTAGAGTCTTTCACATACCTGAGAAGCATCATCGATGGACAAGGACGCTCAGATGCAGACATAAAGGCAAGGATAGGCAAAGCAATGGTCACATTCCTACAATTGAAAAACATATGGAACTCAAAACAACTTTCAACCAATATCAAAGTGAGAATCTTCAAAACCAACGTCAAAGCAGTTCCACTGTATGGAGCTGAAACTTGGAGAACTACAACAACCACCATCAAGAAGGTACAAGCATTTGTAAATAGCTGTCTTCGCAAGATACTCAACATCCATTGGCCGGATACCATCAGCAACAGCCTTCTCTGGAAGAGAACAAATCAGCTACCAGCTGAAGAAGAAATTAGGAAAAGACGATGGAAATGGATAGGACATACATTATGCTAATCGTCAAACTGCATCACGAGGCAAGCCCTAACTTCGAATCCTGAAGGGAAGCGGAAAAGTGGAAGGCCTAAGAACACATTACGTTGGGAAATAGAAGCAGATATGAAAAGGATGAGTAGGAACTGGAAGGAGCTGGAAAGGATTGCCCAGGACAGGGTTGGATAGAGAATGCTGGTGAGCGGCCTATGCTCCTTCACGAGGAGTAACAGGCGTAAGTAAGTAAGTAACCGGTTTTAAACTTTTAGGGAACCTGTTTTTAAAATGTCTGGTCATTACAATAGGTTTTTCTATTTTCCATGTTTTTAACGAATTACTTATGCATGTAAATCTTAAAACGTACTTATCATGCACTTAAATCCTACAGTTTACGATGATACTCAATAATATACAAGATACAAGCGGAAACATTAATAGTTGACATATTCTTTGGAAAAAGGAGAGAACGTATTTGGATCTATGCACAAAACGCAGTATGTAGTGTGGTAGTGGATGAAAACAGTTAAAAATGAATGGCAGATAAACATTGTTGGGAATGTAATTTGATATATGGTTGGAATAGCTACAAATGGCATGTATGTTAAAGTTGAACAACTTACAGGAATAGGATATATGGTACTGAATCAAGCAACCATCATTATTAAAATTCAAAGCCATTTGTCGTAATCAATAACGAGGCTAAAAGTGTTGTGCAATGACCAATGACATTAAAGAAAACATTTTAAAACAAATATGTAGAGAAATATAGTTTGTAATAAGGAAAAACATAAAATATGCTCATGATATAACGTACTTTTTCTGACCAAGTCGATGACAGCGATCCTCTGCTTGTCGATCATTATATGGATTAAAATCGATATCATGTATTATTACAGTATCCGCACCAGTTAAATTAATACCTAGGCCACCAGCACGTGTAGATAGTAGAAAAACTTCAATCGATGAGCTGTGTAAAGATGTACAAGGGATTAAGTGAATGCAGGATACTTAATATAAGTAGTAATTTAGCTAGAAAAAACGTGAGGGTTTTAGCCGGTGATATTTTTATGTAACCAGTTAAGATTTTACTGATATTTCTTAGTGTAAATTTGGAATCTATTTAGTGGCTAGGTGTGGCCAAACTAAAATATAGAAGTAGTCTATGAAATCATTCAGATGAGCAGCTGTTGATGAAGGATATCTGATTGAAATTACCGTAACCAATAGTTGAAGACTAAAGATGATATGGTTCGGAATCAGCAACAATGGCCTAAATGCATTCACTCATTGTCTTCCTTTGAATTTGGAGTTTAAAAACTATCCTGCAGATTCCTATCCCTTATAGCTATTACCTCTACTACTCTGACATTTATATCAAGAATTTCAACGCGCTATGATAACGCGATGTGACAACTTATGTGTGCCAGGTTCTACTACGTTGAGCTATAGCTCTAGTATGAACATAACTTCAGTTCATAGTTAGGTGGATCCCAATCAGATAGCCAAGTTTATTATTATTTTATTTTCTACGTCTTAAAATATCTTTCTCAGAACATAAACCTATGCTTTTACGAACTAATTACTGTTGACTCCGAACCAGATATTTTGACATAATTAATCCCTTTTAATATTTTGTAAATGTAGATGGATGGAAGTTTATTGAAAAATAATTCTCATTCGCTGTAAAACTCTCCCATTTTGGTCAGCAAAAAAGAATATTTCGTTCTTTACACATAAGCACTCGATGTTTGAGTTAACAGAAATAAACATCACTCAATCAAACACAATAAAACTTTAAATCTAGAATTGATAATCTGATTATTGTGAGTTGAAAAACAATGTTTTAATACATATAGTGACTGGAATATATATATATATATATATATATATATATATATATATATATATATATATATATATATAAAATGAGCAAGTAATTAAACAAAAATTTTAGTATGCAGATGAGCATTGCTAATGAAATATAGACAAACTAATACCAAATATTTACCTGTTGAAACGATCTATTAATGTTTGTCGTTCCGAGACAGGAGTTGATCCATCCATTCGTATATAACGCCTGTTAGTTATCCTTAAAAATTCCTCTAATATATCTAACATGATGACAAACTGACTAAAAATCAAAATACGATGTCCTTCAGAGACTAATTTAGGCAAATTGTCATTTAACCATTGGATTTTTCCAGATCCAGAAATGATCGATTCAGGGGAGAGAGTATATGGTGATAAAACCTAAGGATTAAGAGAAATGTCATTTCATTATGTCAAAAGACATCGTGTTTATTTATTCTTAAATATCAATTTGTATTGATCATATTTATGGGCAAAAGATGTTTGAATTTTTAACACATGTAGTTACAGAGCCAACTAAACTACTTAATTTTTATTCAGTAGCAGTAGATAAGCCCATGTAAAATGAAGAGGGAAGAAAAACAGCTAAATTAAAAATCAATAACCATGATATCCATTAAAGCCATTTGATCAATGTGATCTGTTTCAGTAACGCCCTATTTACTTAATAATTTACATAATATTCCTTGAAATAACAAGGCTTATATTATTAAAATAAGTCGAATATTATAGATGAGATAGTAGAACTGCCTTCATTAGTGTGAATGATAAATCAAAAAGGTAAGCATACAAAAATCGACTTATTGACGTGCTCATATTCAAGTTGCTGCAGTTAACAAAACCACAGATAGAGAGTTAAGAGAAATTAGATATTATTACTAACAGGGTTACGAAACAAGAGAATAAATCAAGTTATTAAGTCTTTTAAATTAAGGGAATAATTAGAGAATGGATATTTTAATGTTATTGAACCTAAGTAGTGTTCACTGACATATACATGATTTCAAGGGGGGGGGGTAAGTCGGAGAATTTACATCGAAATAAAAAACTGAGATCAATTGATAAGTTGCAAATCGAACAGTTAGAAATACAATGTAAATCTCAAACAATATTCTGTTGTAAATAACTTGTGACAAAATCAAGGTAATCCGCACATGATTCATATACTCCAGCCTGGACTAATCAAAGTTGAGGTCTGGACATCAACGAGATAGTTTGAACCCTTATTGATAATTATATAAACAACATAACGGTTGAACGGGTTATTAGTTTTGTGAACTCAGTAGACCAATAAATAACCGGTCGTCGTTTGAAGAAAAAAGCACCGGGTTCGAAGCCCAACTTAATATCGGCATTGGGATGTAGGTAAATTTACGTGACGAGTTCAAAATACAATGAAATGCATGTCCCTGATTCTACTGTTAGACACAAGCCTGCATTATAAATGTTTTACTAGACCCTGAATAAATATGAAACAAATTTACAGATAACATGTAAACACCTACATTTACAGTGACTTTAGATAAGAGTAAATACGTGCAAAGATAGCATGATCGTAAGTGATGGGAAGGAACAACGTCATATGGATAACTGAATGGAAGAAAGGCTCTGTGTACATATGTGTCAAAAAATTGTAAGAAAAAATTTGATGTTTATTTTGGACTCAGTCAACACCTATATCAGCCTTTTACGTGTTAAGAAGTTATGAATATTTGTTTTGTATATATTCACATTAGTTTTTGAATAAAATATTAATGAACATTTATCAGTTTACTTGCTTTCGTATCGGTGATTAGGTCAGTTGTACCATGATGTTCACTCGTAAAACGTCTCCTTGAACATTATTCGGCTTGGCTGTCGCAAACTGAACAGAAAATTATATACAGCTTCACTACAGACCACTTAGTCAACTCAGGGGTCAATCACACAGTTTTAAAATATATCATAAAATTTTATGACGTTTGATCGCGAAATCAGAAAGGATTAAGAATAAAATATTATAGCACAACCGAATTATTTAGCAAACCAGAAGTTCAATTTGACATTATGCGTAAAAAAGATATACGTGCGATTGTTATTTATTTACTGCAGTACACTGAAGAAGAATTTATTAAAATGTCAATATAAATTAATTGAAATTTATTCTTATCATGTACTAACCACACCTTTATTTTATTTATCTTTCAGTCAAACAATCAATTTATTTCTATTACCGTTAGTCGACTTCGAACTCTGACGGAATAAATATTTCTGAAAATTTCCATAATTTTTTCTGATATTAATTACGTAAGTATGGATATGAAAGCAAGTTTTTTAAAAACAGAATTTCCTTCGCCATATTTTTATTTACTGAAAAAATACAGAACTCATAAAATGCTTCATCATATCCATTAATTTACATATGCAACTTCAGTATTAAATTAATAATTGGATAGATTACATTAAAGATAACATGAAGTGATCAATGACTACACTATTCGCACTAATTTTCAATTATGAATTAGGAATAACTGTACATTTATTGTTTTTTTATAACTACAATAACAAAGGTGAATTCCATTTAAAATTCTGATCAAAGGTGCTAGAAAGAAAACATACATCAAAATCTTAAAACTCATGGTAAAATTAGCTCATTCACTAGGTACGTGAACATGAACCACAATCAAAGTGTGAAGGATAATGATACTGCTTGGTTGCTTAAATAGCAGTAGGTGGAGCGGTGTTCAAATTTGGAACTTCATGGCTGAAAGTTGAAAACCTAAACCAATAAGTTGCCGCTAAACTGAAGAAGATGAATGTTAACTAAGTATTGTTAAGTTACATAATTTACAACATTTTTATCGTCACTTTTGTTTCAGATGCTAACAAGTTATTTCAGTTACACTCAGATAAGATCGTAAACAGTATACCTTTAGTGGACGAATCTTCCATTGACATTTTCCACCTAAGAATGAGCATTTACATATATAGTGGATTTCATATGTTTAGAGCTGAAGGAAATAATCAGAGGGAACTTACAACCCATATCAGAATTTATAATAATTACAATATGTAACATATGGCAGGGTTAAACTCACCTCGTAAAACTGGCAAAGTTTATGTATCTGATGATCACTCATTGCAAGTAGGTCTTCATAAATAAGATTCGGATCAGCATTAGAGTGACTTGGATCTAAGTGCAAAGATTCTGCAATATCCCGAAGATTTGAATCTGTGTATGCAAGACCAGAAAAAAGGGCCTGGTGATTTGCTGCCTTGCGCAACGCCGTAACCATGTTGCACGGTGACTGGAGAGACTCAGAAATGGATTTAGAAGTGACAGGAAATGATTTCGTTCCATTTACTAAATAGTTAAAATGAAAAGAAATAACTCAATGACTGGTGCAAAATAGTGAATTAAATACAAACAATCTGTTGTTCAAATTATACAAACATCTATTTTAGTAAAGTAAATTACAGTGTTCGCAAGGAAACAGAGACGTGTAGAAACTGGTCAGAGTATGAAAACATTAACTGATTTATGCATGAGAGATCTATGTCAACAAATAGTTGTTGTATGTGCTTTGCAATTCATCTAATTTCAACAATATACTAGGACTAAACGGGAAAATGTTTAAACATATCTCTCATTCTACTACTGACAAGTAGTTCGTATAGGCCAGATGAAATTCGAACCCTGTAAAATCAAATCATGATGGAAAAAGGAAATCTCAACTACAGCGAAATGCATCCGTATAGTTTATGAAGAAAGAACGGGAATAGAACATCTGAGAATGGTTGATTATGTAATTGTAAGGATTAAAATACATCAAACCAAAGAATTAATTCCTGTGAGAACAAGAGATACAAATGGAAAGAGACAAAGCTAATTATGAATACATGCAAAGTTTAACTGATTACCTGTAGTATAATTATCTAAACGGGCTTTTTTTCTTGGTGCACATTCACCTTTAGGATCACTAGCATCTGGATCAGCATTTTCATCACCATCTTCACATTCATTGTTCAAGAGAAGAGAGGGATCTTGACCATTGCTGTTTGTGTCTTTTAACGATCGCTGAGAACGCAGTCGTTTAACAAGATCGTGGTAGTGAGTAGCTTGGGTCTTCGTCATTGCTACTAAAACTACTTCACTAGTTTTTGGAGGAAGCTGTCCGAGGACCTGAAACAAAAATAAGCAAAGGGAAATGATGAGACGACAAGATATATACACATAAGCAACACTATATTCAAATATGGTCTAAGTATATATACAAAAATTGAAACTGCTGATTTTTGTTCATTCCGAATGATAATAAAGCTGTTTTTATAAATAATACTTCCTAGTTATAATCATACAATAATTAATTTTTAACTGGAGAAAAGCTGAGTGCCACTTGGGATCATCAAGCGCATAAACGATAATGTGAAATAAAGTGTGATTCACTTAGAACAACAAACAAAAAATGAATTCAAATCATACTACAGATTTGTAAGCATAAGAGTCGAAATGTTTGGAAACTAACTTGTGATTTTAATCGTCGTAAACAAAATGGTTGAAGTAAACTTTTAGCTTGAACTAAGCGTTCTTCTTCAAAACTGCTTCGAATAGGAGTGCTATTGGCTGACTGATCTTCCTCACGGGAATTCATGGGTTTCTAAACACAAAAATAATAGGAAAGAAGTACCATACAATTCACATCAGATAATAAATTAGACAAAAATGTTATAAGCGAGGTACCTGAAGGATAATCTTTTTCATCTTTTAGTACAAATATCAGTAAATGAAGAAAAATAGCACTGATGAATGTATATAACTGCCACATTCTATTTTCAATTAGATTCTGGATGCATGAGGTAGTTACTCATAAAGATTAGACAAATAATGTAACTAAATTAAAAACATGAACCACTATTATTCAAACATTCGCATCGCTCACGTGAAGATCATAATAAATGAGACCAAAAATGGTGAAAAGATTGGTATATTAAATTATTTTCACAAGTTGAAATCATGAGTCAGTTGAAGCTAGACCACCATTGGAAACCTGGAAGCACTGGACGGCCGTTTCGTCCTGGTATGGGACTCCTCAGCAGTGCGCATCCACGATCCCGCACCACACGGGGCTCGAACCCAGAACCCACTGGCTTTGCGCGCGAGCACTTAACCACTAGACCAGTGAGCCGGCATCCAATGGTGTTAATGTCTAACTTCAACCAATCCACGAAGTTGCGCCACCGTACACCATTGTCTTCAGTGAGTTGTTATCTCACAACAGACCGTTGAATAAGACTCGACTATATGGCGAAAAATAGAACAAAGCGAATCCATGAAAATACTGTAATATATTAGTGCTAAAATCTCAGCTTCTCTAAGTTTAATCAAAATATCGGTGGAGTATTGATCGAAATACGGAGTGGGTACATATAAATCAGTCTATGATTCTTATTCTAAGGTAATTAATATCCTCTTAGATTAATCAATGAGGAAAATCAGATTAAACATAAATACAAGCAGAATCATGGATGCGCACTGCTGAGGAGTCCCATACTAGGACAAAACAGCCGTCCAGTACTTCCAAATTTTCAATGGTGATGTAATATTTATTGGTTCATGATCTCAATTAAAACTCAACAATTTCCACAACCCTATGCAGATAATTATTGTGTTCACTAGTGGATAACGTTGAGAGATAATTCTTGGAGTTTCAGTGAGTTGTGACCAGTGGAGTTCAACCATATCGAGCGTGAGGCAGTTACCCACAGAAGACAATCGAAAATGAACGCACAATATCATGGATTATTTGTAGTTATTAACACCGTTGGATACAGGCTCAGTGATCTGCACGTTAAGCGATCGTGCACGAGACCGAAGGTCCTGGGTTCAAGTTTCGCGTGTGGAACCATGGATCTACATTGCTGGAAGAGTCCCATACTCAGACGAAACGGCGGTCTAGTGCTTCCAGATTCCTAATGACGATCTAACATTGGTCAGTTCATGATCTCAATAAAAAATCAAGAATACATCTTCAAATTTAAAAAAATGACTAATGAAAACCTCAAACTGAGGAATATGTTTGTAAGGTGGGTTTTTCATTGTTAACAGGTATAATCTTTAAACACACGTCTGATAATCTCTTGATCTGAGTAGGTATAAACTGGTGGCTCTTCAGTATTTTGTAAACAGAAGACAGCATGTTATAAATGAATAAATAAGAAAGTTGTACAGCTTACTGAGTAAATCTGAAAAATCCTTTTCAGCAAATCTGTGCTTTTTAGGAACATTTCTGGCATAACAAATGATAACAAAGATACGAGCTCCAACAAGTTGTTTTGAAGAGGTGTACCTGTAAGAAGTAAACGTCGTTGAACTCTAAAATTCATCAGATTTCGATAACGTTGAGAAGTCATATTTTTTAGCATGTGTGCTTCATCGAAAATCCCATAATGAAAGTTGATGCGTTTCATTAAAGCTCTGTCTTCAATAGCACTTGTACCAACAGCATAGCTAAAATGGAGGGTGGAGAATTTTAACGACTCAAAAATATTGATACATATCATGAAAGTGATTATAGGAACGAAAGGTTTAGAATTAATTTTCTGTAAAATAAAAGTTGTAACTAGGATAGCATCACATACGAAATAGTATGAAATTTTGTTGGTGAAATGAAACACGGTACTTTTTACATAGACGTTAAGTCAATATCACAGTAAAACTAATCTTAATCTAAACACGTTGGTGGAATGATCGTGTATGGTACAAATACCCAATTGATAAAATCAGTGAAACTGATACTTCTTTAATGGTTAAAGCCAGATTTGATGTAGGATATCATTGAGATGGTGGAGAAGATTTGTAGCTCAGGTGGATGATTTTGGTGGAGTTTTGTTCTCCAGCTCAGAGAACAAAACTCCACCAAAAAGTAGGATATCATTACATGAGACAACACTATTTGCTTTTATATCGTCCAGATGTTTAAAATATAGGACAGTCCAAAAAATGGAAGAGCTAGAATAAATACTCACCTAGTCAAAAGTATATTAAAATCCGGTTGAGACTCAGATTCATATATTTTCAATCGGATTGCTTTTCGCTGTTCTGCAGATCCTTGATAAACAAGTACTTTTAAGTGAGGACACCAAAGACTTAATTCACGCTGCCAATTATCCTGGGTTGAACTTGGACAAATGATAAGATGTGGTCCGCGATTTCCACTTTCCCAAAGGCTAGCTAGGAAAGCAATAGCTTGAACTGTTTTTCCGAGGCCCATTTCATCTGCTAGTATTCCATTGACTTGTTCGTGGTGTAGCAGACGAAGCCAGTTCAAACCAACAAGTTGGTAGGGTTTTAATTCACGCCTAGGATACACGGAGAAAAAATGTTATGATAAACAGATACAAAAGGCATCATATAATATATTTGGTAAATTTCAGTAGAAACTTTAAGTCATACTTACAAAGGGTTTAAAATAGCGGGCTGTTGAGTCACTAGTTGGACAGGATTACCATTCGCTTTGTTTATAGTGAAGTCATCATGTTCATGATCAACATCAGACTGATTTTGATCAGCATTTTCAGGTAAATCTATGGTATTTTCAAGCAAACGTGTCGCATGACTAGCAACTTGTTCAGTTAGACGTTCACACTTATTTAGTAAACGGATAACTGAAGAACGAACTTCTAAAATATCTTTACAACATTCATATAAATTGGAGGAAAGATGACGAACTCCTGACAGTTGAGAAACCAAGTCTTTCGTATTTTTAAACGGGCGCATATTGATAATAGCCTGTGCGGTTTTCCGAGAACACCCTGGCATCAACGTGAGTTCTTCCAATACAGCATCGTTAAAAAAGGATAAAAGGTGACGGCGTTCTTCATTAGTTAGATCAAGACCCTATAAAAAAAATTAGAAAAACATCAGAAAATATTCAAAGCACTTGAAATAAACAGAATTAAAAACCATACATTAAACACGAAGATATAAAACAAGATAACATTTCAATGTATTCACCACCTACAGGGGGTAGGTCGCAGCCCGGATAGCTCAGTGATAACATCTATGACTGTGAAGCTGATTGACTACGGATCGAATCCGTCAGGGAGCGCCAGTTCCCTCAAGATACAGGTACGCCTTGCTGACGAGTGCCAAGTCGTACGAACCCCGGGTCCAGGGTTTCCTGTTTACTACCTCCAACCACCATCTTAAGAGATTTAAGCCTTCAATTTTCATAAGAAAAGTAACGCAATTTTATCTTCAATTATCAAAACTCTTGAAATTTTCAAGGATCAAATAACTAAACCAAAAATATTGTTTCTGGGATAGATAAATACCTACAGTTGCACCTGGAGACCACTATAATGGCTTCTATGTTTACGTAGATCTTTGTACAAAAACATTAATATTTCATTTTAGTCGATGTCTTATCACTAGTTAGATTAAAATAACAAGATCATATAATGCAAAGCGATTTTACAAAACATTCAATCTATATATTGATGAGGTAAAAAGGCATTGCTGACATCCAATGGCAACACCATGTTAGTAATGCAGAGGTTCGACAACGTGTGTTCGGGCACAGAGATGATAATGTAACTGATGTCACCATCTTGAAACACCGACTTCGCTGGCTTGGATATGTTCTACGAATGTTGTCCCAGAGAATTCCACGTCGTGCATTATTTGCCGACACTGAGACTGGTTGAAGAAAGCGGAGGTGGTCAGTGTATGACATGGTGTCGTGATATGAAAGAAAGCTAAAAAGGACTGGCTTCTGTTGGTCCTTCACGATTCCCTAGCTGGGGTCCGAGAGATGGTGCAACACAGTGGCTAGACGTTATCAGATATGGCTCAGAATAGAAGCCAGTGGCGATCCTGCTGTAACCTTCCTTTATTTTCTTCATTAAAAAAAATGGTTCTTTCTTCCTTAACTGAAAGATTTCTTCTAATTGTACCTTTCCGTTTCCCCCATTATACTATTATTATTATTATTATTACACTGCCTTACACTAATCTGTTCGTTATTGTTCTTTTTTCTCTTCGAATTCTCATTGTTTTGTGTGGCGCATATATATTTGGTGCCCTCTTGTACCAATATTTATGTGTTCAAATAAATAAATAGATTTTCTAATCAGATGTACTTATTTGAGATCACCGAGAAAGTAATAAGCATTATTCGAATTTAGCGTCTGTGCCTGGACTTATCTTTAGCAAAATAATCAACTAAAATTCGATGAAAATTATTTCCACTCGAGATATTAGTGCATGGTCAATAATAATGATACAATCTTTTGAAAGTATTTTGTACAAGATGCTAAGACTCTTTTCATACCTGAAACAGCTTGAATAAAAGGTATATTTAGCTTCCATTGTATGTATACGCTAGCATTTTCCTCAGTTTAAACTACTTATCTACTATTTAGTTTATTGAAATCCGTTAGATGATTCATCAGTGCTAAATATTAGGGAAACATCCTTAAACATCGCCTAGGATTTCCGTCGAAGACTAACAAAATCATAAATATCAGTAAGAACTAATACAAAATTAAACCTTGCAGATGAGACTAATGATTGATAATTACGTGTTTGAAGTAAAAAATCATTAGGAATAATACTCTCAGTGGTACCAAACAAAAATTACCTTGTCACTTAAAAGAAGAGACTATAATGAATTTACCTTGACTATAAATATAATCATGTTAATGTATCATGACATTATAAAGTTAACTTGCTTTAAAATAGCTTTTAGGCATAGTAAAATTATATGAAACCTAAATAAAAAAAGACGGAAGATCGAAATACAAAACCAGGTACTTATCACATAATTACATTGATAACGATAAAAAAGTCAGTTGACTTACATCGTCTTCCGTAATAACCTCGAGAGCAGGTGAAGTGGTTGTTTCGTTATTGATGCCCTGAATTTCTGTTGTTGATTTTTGACGAGTTGATTTTCCACGACGTGTAGGACGTTTACGATTAACTACATAACATAAGCAAATAAACACTATAATTGATTAAAACCAAACGCCAAATGTTAACACGTTTATATACCACAAAATTTCGCGAAAAATTAAATTATTTGTGTTTTTTACCTTCAAGTTTATGTAATCATACTTATCCGATAAGTGACTGTAGATGTTGTAAGTCTATGACAATCTTTTTTGTCTGGAAGGATAAAAATATTTTATCTACCATTCAGTCATTTGATTACTAGGATACTTAGTATAATTCGGATATATAGTTAATTCGAACAAAACAAGCATAAATAAGTCAAGGGAGAAAGAATTAAAATACATGGCAGAACATCGATTACCACGACGCACAATACTGACTAGTACTGGAAACGGTTGGAAGTTAGGGGCGACCAAACCAAAACGTGGCATCAATCCTTCAAGTCACTAGATTCTAGTCTGAGTCATGTTGGTAGATGCAAACTATTTGGTTGGGGCCCGCACGACCATCATAACCAATGGTTGGAGACTCTGGGTGACATGGCTCAGGATCGATCACAATGGCGTAGGTGTATACACTCTATGTCTTCCTTTAAACTATTAGATTGAAATTGCTTCATATCTTTCTTTCTACCAACTAATTCTTTCTTCCTGTACTATATCCTCATATGCACTCTTTCTTTTATATATTACCACCATTGAATTAACTACTTCTATGAATTCGGTGTTAATGTTGTGTTAATGAGGTATGGCAACTTGGATCGATGCGTATGTGCCTGACCCTACATTACAGCTGACTGACTGACTGATATGGTGCTAATAAACAAATCGCATATTTATAGGCCTTAATTACATCAAAAATAGTTCGGAAAACGTTATTAGATTTTATCTTTGTTGAGTTGCTCTTCAACAATAAATTATACTTTAAATGTATAATTATCCAAATGATGGCTTATGAAAGAAACCATTGGTTAAATTAATTAAAATTGTACATTCATTTAATGTACTTGAATTAATGCATTAATTCTTCCAAAAAGTAAGTACTGGTTGGATGTAATAGATGGTCATAACCAGTTTGTTTGCATCCCAATGTTATTTGATCATTATTCACAACTCGCATGAATACAACAATTGATACCTTCATTTACTAATACTTAATTTTATATTCAGTAATATATGTGCAGCGTACAAAAACCGCTGGTAGGCTCCGAAAAAAGTTAAGGGTGAAAAACAGAGATACGGGATCAGTCCATGAAGTTAATGACTGTCGGACTGAGCAGATACAAACATTCTGGTTGAGCTCTGTAAGATAATTGAAATCTATAACTGAAAACTTAGAGTGATGTTGCCCAAAAGTGGTCGCAGTGTTGAGTATACTCTTTTCTTATCAATCGCAAAATCATAAACTGATATTTTATTCCTTTTGTTCCATAACTGCACTGATTCTTTTGAAAGTAATTTTGTTTAGTTTTCTATTAATTTTAGTTTTTTTATTTCCATTTTTCTGTCTATTCTTTTTTTAATTTCATACTGCTGTGTTGTGTAAATTTCGGTCGCTTGACATAACATACATATATTCCAAGCCCTATTTTATGCATGCCTTTCTATCTGCTACTGAATTACATTATTAAGTACACTGTAATAAGGAAATGCAGGGATTAAACTATCTAAAAATTGACTAGAATGTTAACTTACCTGAATTACTTACAACACCAACTTTGGCTAAATATTTAACAGCATCTCCTGGTTTCCTACTAGAATCATCACTATCCAAATCAGATTTGACCGCTGATGCTGTAATGCTAGTTCGACTAACGGGTGTACTAACTGTAGCAGTTCGCATCTCGCGATTAATGTACCCACGTTTCTTTTTTTGTGCTTCGCTAACATGATCTGTACGAAAGAATTTGTTGCCTGATTGTTGAATAGTTGTCTCTTCGGAATTCAACGTTTCAGCATTGTTATCCTAGTAAAAAAGAAAATCAACCGTTTATTAAAATAAAAAAGATATGCTGTTTTGTGATCCAGAAAAAATCAAAAAGTAACATCGCTGACAAAGCATAAACTTAAGAAACGACAGAAACGCAACTAGCAACTAATTTTGTAGCAACCAATGTCAGAACGATTGAATGGGTACACATAGAAATCAACATACCCAGAACACATGTTTCATTCTTCTTACCTGATCCTAAAGTGAGAGGGAACTCAACTAAATCTGGATTTTAGAAAGAACATGCAGGAAATTATGGAGAAAGGATGCTGATTGTTCATTAAAAATTAACAAAATTTGTCCAGAATTACTGTCTTAATAATAAGAAATAATATAATTTACAATGATACTCAAGTTTACCGGTAGTAATAAACAAGGCGAGCATTTATAACGTTATTGAGGACCTACATGGATTTTGAGCTGTTATTTTAGTCATACTATTTATTTTATAAGTCCATTAAATTTAAAAGTTCCCAGACGTAGGTCAACCTCACATGTATAACAGTAAAAACTTGAATTTTATGTAGACCTCAGAGGCTATTGAATAAAAACAGAAAGTTAACGATTCTTCTTCTATTTCATGAGCACTTTAGACGATATTTTTGAAAGATTGTTAGGAAGTTGTGAGTCTTAGAAAAAAAACCACATATGTGTAAAATTCTATGAATTTTATAGATAAATTTTTGAAGCAATATAAAGCTAATTCTGGAGCTTACAGTTTATTCTTACATCGATTTAATTAACCTATGTATAGGCAAGATTTATTTATGAACTGAACTGGGATAGCCTTAAATAAAATAAACCTACCAAATTAGTAATAAACAACTCTAAAACAAGTAAATTAATACTTGTCATCAAAACAAACATGCATTAACATCTAGTCATTTTGATGGAAATGTATTTAAATCTATTGTGATTTTATATAAACTAATGAAGAGCAATTTAAGTGACGAAGAAAATAATCTACACTAAAGGACGTTACAGTTAACTAACATCTTTTACACACACTATACAGTTTATCAACTCTTAAAGTTCTAATCAATTCCGAATATATAGATCATACTCTTACTGGGTTCTAGAAGTTTACACAGATAATTTTGGGATAATATAAATGAATCATATAGTTAAAAAAAACCAATACACAGGTGGATATTAACAAATTGTTACCAAGCTGGAATAACTCAAAAATGCATATTTTTTTCCATTTTCGTCAACGGAACAACAACTAATCATGTTTTCTAATTTGTCATTTCACAAAAAAAATACTAGCGAATTAATGTCTCTATTCTTTTCAGTGCAAGTGAATGATTTACCATAACATTGTTCGCAGTAGTGAAGTACCTTGCAAGAAGTAGTACGTGTTATTAGCACTACTATTGGTAATATTAATAATAACAATAATAATGATTGTAATAACTTCTACACCCTGACACGGAAAACAAAGTAACAATGTAAAAAAAGGATATAGAATGTAAATAAAAACACTATTTATTAACAAAACCACAAAATAGATGAACCATGAAAACATAAAATTTAGGATTACCGATGTTAACATCTGTTCTTCTGATGGTCTAGGTGGAGACTGTTTGAATTCAGCTAGTTGGTGAATCGGAGGCAAGACAGTCGACACAGATGATATTTTCAGCTAAAAATACAAAAAATTGTTTTGTGCAGATCTTTAGTTTCTTCTACTCCCTAAGAAAAATAATATGTTAAGCATTACCTCACTATTTATTAATTATGATCATTTTGCTTAAACTATCAAATACGAGTGAAATAAATTTCATGTCGTATACGTATTTTACTTTAAATAAATCACCGCAATAATACACATCAGGATAAGAACAAGTGTTGAACAGTTAGAGCTCTGACAAAACAAATCAACTGGGTTTGTAAATTTTTTATTTATGAATAAGTGACAATTCTGAGTCCTAAAATTGTTTTCGTTTGATTATAAGTGGATCATAAACAAAACCCTACTTACCCCAGTGAACAATGATGGTTTGGGACGCGGTGGTTCACAGTGTGAGGATGGTGTTTCCAGCACAGAACTTGATAAACCCGTAGAGTCCAAAAACTTCTGTTCATGTTCATCAGCAGATTCAACGGTCCCCTCAGGAGTAACAATGACTCGACGATACAGTGAGTTGGCAACATGGGGAGGGCAACGACCCAAAGGCAGTCCCATACATAAGAAAGCTTGTGACTGAAGAGGCAATTCCGGACGGTTGTGAGTTTTCGAATCTGTTGCTAAAATAAACAAAAGTGAATAAAAAATAGGGCTAGGTTAGGGAGATATAGATTCTTCTCAAAATACTTTATGCTTGGGATTGTGAGATCAATACGTTACAGATTTTGATGGCCAAGTGCACGATATTTATGCAAAATACAAGTTAACTCATGGTACAATGATAATGTGACATATTTTCGTAGTAATAGCAGCCCGATATCACCACATAATTCCTTAAGAGACGTTTCTAAAACATTGGAGGGGAATGAAGAGATGAAGAACCCATAAATAATTCTTTGATTTTAGATATAGAGCTTTCTTCCCACCAGATGCACTAGTGAACTTGCCTATTTAAAAGGTCAATGAATTTTTCATAAATTGATCAATAATTTTGAGTCTACTTCGATCGAATAAATAGTTATGATGATGAGGAAAAGATGCTTATCAACACTGACCCTCGTAGAAAGATGTCATTGCTGGTGTTTGAAATCTAATACCTTTATTACACACTACATGGCTGGAGTTCAACCCATAAACAGTAATAATTACGTAAACATTCATACCAGTATCAGCAGTATATAGTTACAATACGAACAACTTGAAAGGAAACTGGACACATACCTTTACGATGACGATTTTAAATAAAACGATATATTCAATACTCATATATTTAGTAAATAAATTTTTATGGTCGGTTCAAAAAGCTTTTCTGAAACAAATATCCTAGACACATGTCGTCTATCAGCTGTTGTATGGCAGACAAGAAGGTGGAGAGATCAGAATGGTACAATATTTACTAGCAAATTAAGCCCAGTTTAAATTAATATTACAATTAGGAAGTATTAAATAGAAATAACACTTACGTCGTTTAGACTCGGCCTTTGGTGCTTGAATAAGACGGACCTTTGAGCATCTTTCACGCTCTCGATCATCTTCTTCTTTTAACTGTTCATAACTCTTTTCATAACTAAGCATGTTCCGCGTGAAAACTCGATTAATGTAGGCCCTCTTAAAGCGAGGGAACAATTTCAATAACTTTCCTAGCTCTTGTACACAATCCTTTCCTTCATATGTCCTTATTTTCTTTTCCATTCTGTGGAAATGTTAAAAAATGGAAAAATTAAGTAAAGTAAAACTAGTATGTTGTTTTATGAATTTATTGTAAACTGAAAAGTGGTTTTAAGATAACTTGTTGGCATTTAATTTGGTGCAGAATGGGGATGAAACAAACACCCATTTCTTTCATTAAATATAAACTCTGACAATGAATAAATAAACTGAATGCTGTGGAATTTAGTTCGTGTGAGATCATAGAGGAATTATTAGTGAAAACGGGGAGCCGATGAGATACACCATCTGTTTATCTGGCGACCAGATGACTAGTTCTCGTGGAATGGGGGGTGTAGGCATAGCGCTAAGTGTGAGGGCAAAACGAACACTATTAGAACGGATCCCCGTTAACAGTCGTCTATGTGCTGTTCGGCTAGACGGATCAGTAAGAATTCGGAAGGATAGGGACACACATCGTTGCCTTTTCCTTGTTCTATCTACGCTTCCCAATAACTGCAGCCGGATGAAGTTTGGCTTTTTGATTAAAATTCAGAAATTATTCATAACAGTACTCCGGAAAAATTGAAGTATGTAGCAAGCACGCTTTTAACTTGTCCTCTTCGATATGGTGGATTTTTCCAATCATCCCATATCCACTCCCTTCGTTGCAGAGTACGGTAGTCGTCATGACAAAACCAGAGACAACCACATGTATGATCCCAAACTCAGTTCATAACTATATCCTAGTTGCTACTAGTATTACCAAGAGTTTTGTGTTATCAAGTAGTACCAGCGCTCCGAGAACGGCGTCAGAAGGAAGGAGTCCAAGTAAATGAAGGCCTATCGTTCTATAAAGATGTCACGGATACTCGGGGCTTGACAACCCCATTGTTCATAACGTTTCTAATTGAAGATCTCTAACCTAGAAACACCAAAAGACTGGAACAAAGCGGCTCAAAGATAGTCGATGAGCCGAGAAGTATGTGGTTCAGGCTGGTTATCTTTCGAGAAGGATATGTATCATTGCGTATCCAATGGTGATCTGGTGCGGACGATTAACCAGGCGTCTTCAGCCATGGTATGTCCAGTGGAACTAATGAAGTCAATATCAATGTCGAAGATTAAAGTAACAATTCATCTTGGGAATTTATTCGCAGCTACACATATACGTGAACAAATGATTTCTGAATTAGTAATAGAAATTCCGACCAAACATATCTAAGCTTTTTTAAAAACTGAAAACATCACTAATGCTGTTTCCCTCATGCCACAGAAATCTGGTAATATATATAACATGCCTTTTGAAATATTCTGTCATAGTATAAATCTAGTATCTTAGTATCTTTTATACGTTACGAAAAATGATGCTTTCTCTGTAAGTGAGAGGAACACGTCCTAAGGACATAGTTTATTCGGAGCAGCTTCTAAAATTCATTTTACGAGCAATGTAAGCGCCGAATAAACGCCTAGATCTCTTTGACTTGCCATCGAAAAGGATGAGCAGGCCAATAGTTTGACTCAAGAGACTCATAAATAACTAAGTAGCAACTCTCAAATGTTGCTAATAGGTCAGAGATATCCTGGTCACCAGGAGTGCTGCTGTACAGCTATAAAATGAATTTTGTGTTCTCTCCCTATTTTGTCCACGGCGTTCAGTAATGGGCAAATGGTTATCACCGAACTAACTGGTAAAAATGTTCAATGAGTATATGTTGAGAGCCTGAAAGTAGCTGATCTATGAAAAGCTATTCTTTTTTAACCTGAATCATCGTACCTCGAGCCTTCGCTGAGGTTACTAGCTGGATCATTTTGTGTCAAGTAAACCTTGGAACTCAAAATTGATGATCATTTAAGGTGACTGTTTTTCATCATCGAAACATAAGATATCGATCTATTTACGTACTCTCAATCGTTTGAAATTTCACTGTTCATATCACAGTCTATCACATTTTGAATCTGTATCATTTCTAGTGGTATAAATGGCATATTTCATGCACATTTGAGTACTTTAAATAATCGAACTTTTATGTTTTGTAAGTAGACTACATAAGCATTAGCATTCTCCCTCCGAGCTGTACATTCCTACTAATTTATCTCCTCATAATTCATCTTGGATTGTCGATTTCACAGTTGTCAAAACATACGAATGGGCAGTTCTGAGATCCTCGAATGTTTTGAAAATTACTGATTCACAAAGAGAAGGTGATTCTGTCTGGATTATTTCGAAGCCCTCAAATTTAGCTTCCTTATTGTTGGGTAATGTTTACAGTCAACCAGACCCATCAAAAGTGGAAATGTCAATATTATCAATATTATTTACACTACCTATGTCCTTACCATCCACAGATAATTTTATTTGTAAGAACCTCAACATGTCTGAAACTTCTTGGTTTCCAGTAATAGAGCTAAAACGTTTTAAGTCGTCTATTGACTTCATAGAGCTTGGACAGTGAACGCAGTGTGTCAGTAGCCCTTCTAAACATCAAAATATCTTGGATTTAGTCTTTTTCAGCAACCTTATCCCCAGTGCTGTGTATCTTGGAGAGACCTTTTCAGGTAAAGACCATAATATTGACACCTTCAGTCGTGATATAAGAAAGACAACAAGTAAACATTCGATAATCACACTTTGTAGAAACTATCGCAAGGTTGATTATATAGATCATTGACGTGGATGATCTGTGTCGGAAGGCTGAGGGCCTACTCGGATAGACGGAAATGGTGTGACCGAACAGCCGACGTCGAAGCCACACCTCGTCATAACCAGGTATTAAGGCCCCTTTGGTAACTATACAACATAAACGACGTTATTACAGAAATATATCAGTAAGAGCAGGTACAAGGAACAGCGACCACTGCTGCACGAAGCAGTTCATGGCGTGCAATTAACTAATGCGCATTGATTATCCTTGGCATTGACGAGAATCAGTCAGCTGTTCGAGATGCAGCGACCCGACTGTCGGGAGATTTGGCTAGGGATAGAGGACAATTCGCTGACCTTCCGATTAAAAAACTTTCAAAACGTCCCAAGCACCATTTTTACCCTAAAGACTACCGACTACCATTCTATCACAACATCGGTAATATCTATGAAAAAAACAGAATCTTTAAAATACTGAAGATCTAGAGTTTCCGAGGATCCGTATACACGGCTGCAATTAAACGCAACTCAATTTCGTAAATGTGCCCTTCAGCTTAGCAACCAATCAGAATGTGGCGGGAATTATTATATCAGCCATCTTTGTACGTAATGGCGGTCGGCTATCTTCGCTCTGTGCTTCTTTTAGCTATTTCTTTTGTGTAGCTATGTAATTAATGTTTCAATGTGCTAAGATGCCGCAGTTAGTGTAATGTTCTACATGTTGGTGTGAAATTTACTTCGAATCAGCATTGTTTTTTGGGTTTTTGCTGCTTCTACTCTAGTCAATATATTTCTTCAGTCAAGCTGGTTAGTCTTATGTTATAAAATGAAAATCGGTTTTGTTTTGACTTGTTTTCTAGATATCCAAAGCCGAAGTTCGTTTTTTCTTAGCTGAAATAACTGTTGCTGCCTCCTGTGACTAACTGTCCGCGTGTTCATTCCTAACTGTCTTCTATGATGTTATCGGCAAAATGAAAGGGAACAATTTCCGGTTTTTAATTTTCTTCAGTATTGCGGACAACAATATCCCACCAACGAGTCACACTAATACTTAGTGCCTAGCAGTAGGGGATGTCAGTATTGTTTTCGAAAGTACCCAGGCTTCCGACAACCACAGATGCTACCAATCTATTGCAGAGGGTTTGTTATGAAAAAATATGCCACATAGCAGTAATGGAGGGGTTGTACGCATTACGTAGTGCGTTAAAGCAAGCTTAACATTGAAAAGCCGGAAATCTGCTATCAGTGTGTAGTGTATGTTTGCTGTTTCGGCCACAAAAGGAAGCCGAAGGGTCATTATCAGGGATTAAAAATGTAACTAACTGTTATTAAGCTCACCTTTTTATAGACCATAATTCACCACTCGCAAATTTGTTATTTTTACGGTATGATGTCAACCGTTATCTAATATGTTCACCTTTACGATGAAAAGTACTTGCAAATTCTCAACTTCATATTCGAATTAATTTGTGACAACTGTCTTCCAGTTTGAGTGCTTCGTACGTTCTGGGAGACTAGATTCCTACATTATTCACAGTTCCAGTATAACTTTCTCACACAGTAAGTTCAAAGTAAACACTAGTCTTTCTAAATAAACATGTTAAGCTAATATCCGTATTCTCTATTTCAGATGATCGATGAAGACATGTACCACGTGCATCTGTTGTATATTGTTATTTTACTCCAATTCTTACTGTTATATCTTCTGAAAAATAAAATTGCTATATGCAGCAAATACAGACTTATTGTTTTGATGGTGGTAGGGGGGTTCATTGGTTTTTTAGCAGGACTGTAGTAATATTCCCACTAAAGAGCTAAGTGATTGCGTAGACCAATGTAAAGTACCATACAGGGTGCCTTTGAATTACTCGTGTTCCATTAGTGTCGGTAGAAGCATTACTTGCTTATCGTATGACATTTGAATAAGAAGCTATGAGATTAGATGCAGGGACGGTTAGGATGTGTAACGCGTGTCCATCCATCAGTTTTCGTGGCAACTCACGGTGGCTAGAATAAGTTGTGAGAGGACCCGAGCCTGTAGGTTTCCTAAGAAAGTGACGGAGATATGCACCAAATCACCTTATGAAGAGCGCCTCCAATCACTTAACCTCTACTCATTAAAGTATAGACGTCTTAGAGGTGACCTATTTACTTACAGGATCCTTAACACTTCTGGACATTTTCTTAAACACCTATTTGAGCTTAGTCCCAGAAACTAGAGACACGACATAGCAGAATGGACTGTAGACGCAACTTCTACTCCTTAAGAGTTGTCAAATGCTGGAATTCGCTGCTCGCCGAACTAGTCCAAGCGACTTCCCAGGAGTCATTTGGGAGGCGACTGGATCTTTTATTGTTAACATACCTAGGTTCCTGCTTGGAGGTTTTGGTGATCCCCTGCT